CGTGTGATGTTCACAGCACCAGATTTTTGTTGATTGTTAGTAATTTGCCAACCTTTTGAGCTAGTACTGATGAAGAGACAGCAATTTTCCTGGTGATGGTCCAAAAGGACAGAAACCACAATGTCCTGTCATCTTTTAAAAGTATTTGACGAATGTTAAAGTTTTTGATCTTTTTATTGATCGAATACATATAGAAGGTAAGTACAGTGATTCCTACAAAGCACACTGCGATCAATACAGTGAGCAGGCAAGAGAAGGCAGTATGGAGGATCTCGCCGGCATCGCAGAGCTTGTTGTGGACATCGGAGAGTATGGCGACCTTCTGATCTTTGTAAGGCGAATCGGATCTCATCTTGAGTTCATTCAAGGACTCGCAAGCTGCTTCTAACCTGCTGTTTATGAGAGAGGCCAGAACTGAAAATTGTGCGATTACTAACCATAAGTTTATGGACAGAACGGAAAGATACAATGCCCAGATGATGTTATCCTGAGAATTACAGCATCTCCAAACAACGACGAAAAAGTTCAAACAAGAGGCTACAAGATCCGATGGACTGAAATCCATCTTTGAGTGGTTGTTTAAACTGGCGTCTACTTTATCGAGGATATCGATGATCTCCCTAACTGCTCTGCCCCTCCAGATCGAAGTACTCTCTGCTGTGATGTGCATTATGGACAAACTGTTTATAAAGCATAACAGCATAATTAGTTCCGCTTTTGCAAGAAACTCTTGTCCTGTTATCTCCTGGAAGAGTGGTAATGACGAAATAAACCGATTGACAACGTGGCTGTTACTGATAGGATACCAAAGAATATGATCTCCTGTAACGACCTCTATGCAGGATGAAAGAGAACATTCCGAAGACTGGGGAGAGGAAATATATAACACGGAAATATTTGTGGTTTAAAAGCACTTCAGCATTACGATTATTCCTTAGTCTTTCTCGGTCATTCGTCATTTTATGAAAGTTACCTCCTAATACTGTTCTTTCTGTTGTTAAACTGAATATTTTCCGGTTCAAAAATCAATAACGAACATCAATCTAATCCACATTATTACAATTTCTAATCAGACGAAGCGTCAATCCATTGCTTTTGTCAATCATGAGTCACCTTCCTAATTGAATCAACATAAAAGGTTTTTGATCGATACAGTTTAGCCCTCTTATCTTTCATCTCTACAACCATGTATCAATATAAACATGAAAAATAAAATAAATAAATACATTGAGAGGCGAAAAATTCCACCCACTTGATTTTTTCATCTAAAAATATTTATGCTTTGGATTGGTCTATTATTTTTAATGAATAAATAGGTAATCTTTTTGTTTGTTTTCAATTAGGAATGTTAATATAGAGGACAATAACCCTTAATCCTTAATTCAATGAAATGATTCTAGATTCCAATGTTTACTTTCTTTGGAATCAAAATGTTTATCCAGTATCATTAGTTCAGTGTCGTTTCTTGCAGCACATTTCTTAGTCTCCGGCTTTTAATTTTTTCAATATTAAGTTTAAAAACTTAAAAACCCGACTGGTGGAAAGTATGCCGAGGCGTCTTCAAGAAGTAGTGAAGGCAAGAGGAGGAAACACGCGCTACTAAACGATGATGTAATTAACTTTTTTTAGAATAATAATGGTTCGTTTTTCAAGTTTGTTTTCTTTAATTACTTTTAATAACCCGATCACATTTACTAAGTATTATCTACAAATACCATGTATTATATACAAATACACCATTTTTTACAAGTGGGTGGAATTTATTGCCTGTCAGTGTAAAATGCTCTGCTACAACCTATTAAATGTTTATAATTGGTAAATGGTTGACTGTCGTGGATAATGAAGAGAAGAATAGTTGGAGTGATCAGTTAAAAAAGAAGGCAAAAATAAATGATAATATTTATTTTTACATATGCCGACGTTTCGACCTGAAGTTCAGGCCATCATCAAGGCTGTCTCCAAAAGTGTAGCAGGGAGAAATCGCTGGGAGAAATATTAAATATTTACGGATTGATACTACGCATTGCAGTGTCAAACAACTTGTCATTATACAAGCCAAAGATGTTGTTTTGCCCGTGGTATGTAAATAAAAATATTATTATAAAATATAATATTTTATGCCCGTATTTTATTTGGATTTGTAGTGTCTCAAGCTGCCGGAACAGTGATAAAAATAACGTTTTAAATTGCATGTATTTAATGAATCAAAATAGAATACAATTATTGTGAGTTTTTTTTTTTTTTTTTTTTTTCTGTAAAATACAAGGTTAAATTTTTCAAGTAACACTATTTTTCCTATATTATTTACTAATTGGATGCAAAGTATGGGCACACATTTTATTAGCCAAACCGTAAGGCAATACTGATTTGTGAGTATCACACGGGGTCGCGTTAAGATTAAGAGTTTTGAAAGTAGCTCATTACATAGAGAATGAAATGATGAACATCTCGCCGACAATATGGAGGTCCGATTTTTAGTTTTGGAGATATTTTAATCCATATGCAAAAACACGACTCCTGCCGACTTAACCCGAGCTTTACACATCGGAAATATAATTCGCACTCCACAAAATGTGCAAAACGCGTTTAAAGAAGTGTTCAATTAAAATCAAAATTAAGATATAAGTGAAATTCGTGTGATATATAGTTAGGTAATGTAACAACCTTTTTACTAAGTTCTGATGAAGCTGAAGCAATTTTCCAGGTGATGGTAAAAAAGGAAAGAACCCACAATACTGTCTCATCTTGGAACAGCAGGAGAATGTCAAAGTTTTCATTCCGTTTTAGGACTCCATATGTGTAGAAAGTGAATACAGTGATTCCTACAAAGCAGACAGCGACCAATACAGTTAGCAGCCAAGCGAAGGCAATATGGAGGATCTCGATGGCATCGCAGAGCTTGTTGTGGACATCAGAAAGTATGACGACTTTGTGATCTTTGTAAGGCGAATCGGATCTCATCTTGAGTTCATCCAAGGACTCGCAAGCTCCTTCTAACCTGCTGTTTATGAGAGAGGCCAAAACTGAAAACTGAGCTATTGCCAACCATAGGTTTGTTACAAGAATAACGGTAAGCACTGCATAGATGATATATTGGGTATTATAACATCGCCAAACAAGGACAAGGAAGTTTAAACAAGTGACTACAATTTCTGATAGACCAAAATCCATTTTGGTATGGATGTTTAAAAAGGCGTCTACTTCCTCCAGAATAACAATAATCCGTCGAAGAGCCCTGACTCTCCAGATCGAGGTGCCTACAGTTGTGATGTGCATGATGGACAAGCTGTTTACAAAGAATAAGAGTGAAAGTTGTTCCGCTTTTTCTAGAAATTTTAACACCCTTATTTGTGAGTAAGACGAAATAAGGATAGTGTTAAATCTAACTGAAAGAAATGCGACGAAGAGTGTGGCTATTACTGATAGAACACCGAAGACATATGATCTCTTGTAGCGACCTCTTTGCAAGGTGAATGGGAACACTCCGAAGACACCCGACAGGAAATATATAAAACGGAAATAATTATGGTTTAAAAGTATTTCAGTGTGCTCAGATTTTCCTGATCGTTTCCTGATCGATCCAATCTCCATTTTACTGAAGCAATATTACCTACTGGTACAGCTGTCTCTGCTCTGAAACTGAATATTTTAAGGGTCGAAAGTCATTAGCAAACATCAATTTAATCAGTATTTCTGATCAGATCTAATGTCAATCCATCGCATTCTTCGGTCGTGAGCTACGTTCCTAATGGAATTAACATAAAATGTTTAGGCGATAGCTCTCCAAGACTTTCATATCCATATAGGGTGTGTGTCAAGCTATCTTTTTTGAAATGAGCGTTCTGAACCATAGAGGGGTCTAGTCCCGTGTAAATAAATATTTTTTTTTTATACATTTATTGGTATTTACCACTGCATACATATATACAATATCCAGCAATATTAACTATTATTAAGGGAGTGATTATTAGTATCTTGAGGTATGCTCCCCCCGCCTGGAACCACCGGGTGCGTCTCAGCGACAGAAGAATAAGTTTGCGACAGCGGACGGCTTTGCTGCGAGTCACCAAGACATATCTAATGAAGCGAAACAGGTCTTAGCAGGAAGGGTATCTCTCCTTCTGCGTGAAGACATGATAAAATATACGTTCAAGAAAAAAGGCTCAGCAGATATGCCGAGAAACCTTAAGGTAAGAATTGACGAGAACCCACACAAATTTCCGTTTACTTATACGGTAGGATACAATGGAAGAATAGAACCGGCGGTGGGTGATAACCCGAAAAGGACATACCTTGAGAAAATACTTCCCTACCATCCGGTTACGTTTAGAAGAAAAGTGGGTCCTTCCGGACAACTGGCTCTCACGATTTCACACAGGCCACGGGTGCTTTCGAGCAAAGCTTCATTTCCATGGGACGGACATCGACCCTTATGTCCTATCTACGGTGTTATTAAGACTGCTGAGCACATCATAGTCGACCGCACTATCTTTGAAAAACTAAGAAACACACAGAACGATTTCCCTCAGTTAGTCATTGCAGAAAACTACTCGTATTACAAAGATTGTGTGTACGGGTGGAAAGCCACTGGGGGTCCAGTCCATTTCAATCTAAGAAGAGGAGGGGCTACAGGACCATTGGTATGAAAAATATAGGAAAATCACTCAAGAAAACCAAGAAAGAACAGATGATCAAGTTTTTCTTACTGTAGTGAGATGTTCAGCTGACCAACCTAACAACTACTACTGCAGTCACACGTATTGTTTAAAAGGCAAGGCAGGATTCAACACAAAATAATGAAAACAAATATATACAATAAATAAATGTGCTAAAACATGATAAAATCACTATGTCCTGTCATCTTTTAAAAGTATTTGACGGATATCAAAGTTTTTGATCTTTTTATTGATCGAATACATATAGTAGGTAAGTACAATGAATCCTACAAAGCCGACAGCGATCAATATAGTTAGTACCCAAGTGAATGCAGTATGGAGGATCTAACCCGCATCGCAGAGCTTGTTGTGGACAGCGGAGAGTATGGCGACCTTCTGATCTTTGTAAGGCGAATCGGATCTCATCTTGAGTTCGTCTAAGGACTCGCAAGCTCTTTCTAACCTGCGGTTTATGAGAGAAGCCAAAATTGAAAACTGAGCTATTGCCAACCATAGGTTTATCGAGAGAACAGAGAAATACAAGGGATAGATGATACCATCAGTAGTATACCAGCGCCAGAAAACGACAAGAAAGTTTAAAGAAGAAGCCAAAATATCCGATAGTCCGAAATCCATCTTCAAGCGGGTATTCATAAGGGCATCTACTTCTTCCAGGATACTGATAATCTGACTAACAGCCTTGGCTCTCCAGATCGAGGTGCTTGCTGTTGTGATGTGCATGATGGACAAGCTGTTTATAAAGCATAAGAGTAAAACCATATCTGCTTTTTGAAGAAATGTTATCCACATCGACTTCATGGAAATAAACAAACGATTTACCCTAATTGCAATAAATCCGACCAAAAAGCAGCCTATTACTGAAAGAAGACCAAAGAAATATGATCTCCTGTAGCGACCTCTATGCAGGACGAAAGGGAACACCCCGAAGACTGCAGAGAGGGAATATATAAAACGGAAATATTTGTGGTTTGAAAGTACTTCAGCATGGTTATTTTTTCTTGATCGTTCTGAGCCAAACTGGAACACCATTTTATTAATATATCCGGATTCAATTCTATCTGTTGCGAAACTGAATATTTTACTGTTCGAAAGTATTAGCGAACACCAATTTAATCCACATTACTTCAGATTTCTAATCAGATCGAATGTCAACCCATCCCTTATGTCAATCCAAGGTACGTTCCTAATTGAATTGACATAAAAGGTTTTGAATGAAGATATTCAGGCGATCGGAATCGAGGTGTTTCATTAATATGTTTCTTAATATTAATATGTTACAACGTGATAAGATAGACTTATACTAATAGAAATAGCTTGAAATGTGACGTTAAAATGTACTTTAATAAAATAAATGGAATTAAGGCATATTGCAAATGTTCTAATAACTTCATTTTCTATATGGATCATTATTCCATTATGGTATAGTCCCATCAATTTGTACTTTCACTTACCTATATATGAAATATATAGTGAAGGAAAGTATTGCGATCGTGCAAATTTTCTGATCTGAGCTTTCCACGGAATTACCCCCGCAAAATGGTCTATGTGTATGTGAAAAGTCTAGCATAAAATAGGTATAATATAAAAAGTATAGAGGTATATGCCTTGGATGTTACAGCAACATTTTTGTTAAAATCGATTAACCGGATTGCCACTTTATATCAACATTTTTACAATTTTCTGAACAACGGCAACCGCGATTTTGTTTAAACTCGGTGTATCATTGTATAATTAAGTGGTCTTTAATATCATTAAGGTCTTATCCCCATTGATGTCACTTTATAGGGCTTAAATGCCCAATGTTCATATACGTCTTACTCCAAAGACTTGCTGGAGGTAGGGGCCCTCCAGACTTGCTGGAGGGCGTGACGTAGGATTGAACGCCCTACTCACATATCTCTAGTTTACCAAACACCACAAATAGTCATGGATCTCCCTAAGGTAAAACGCTCACTATCCGGAGGTAAACTAGTCCCCCGTTCGGGTCTCCGGGTGGGGACTGCTTTAGGGGATTCATTGAAGTTGAAATATAGAGATTTAAATATTGGTACGTGGAACGTAAGGAGTTTAAACACAGCAGGGGGGCTAAAATCGGTCGCGAATGAGGTAAATGGGTACAATTTGGATGTCGTGGCTCTGCAAGAGGTTCGCTGGCCAGGGGAAGGCTCGATGAGGGAAGGAAAGTACACTATTTTTTACGAAGGAAGCGGGAATCATTGTTTAGGTACCGGGTTTCTAATTAGGAGTAGGTTACTATCCGCTTTGAGGGACGTACAATTCTTTAGTGATAGAATTTCGGTAGCTATATTTCAGAGACGTTGGTTTAATATCGCATTAATAAACATACATTGTCCGACCGAAGACAGTGACGATGAAGTCAAAAGTGAATTTTACGATAAACTCGAATGGGTTTATGATAAACTACCGCGAAACTACATGAAAATAATTGTAGGTGACGCGAACGCAAAGGTAGGAAGGGAAGAAGTTTATATTCCGACGATTGGTGAAGAAAGTTTGCACGAATATAGTAATGATAATGGGATCCGTCTGATAAACTTTGCCATCTCGAAAAATCTGATAATTAAAAGTACGACGTTTAAACATAAGGATATTCATAAATATACTTGGACATCACCGGATTCGAAAACACGAAATCAAATCGATCATGTCTTGATACAACATAGCTGGCAAAGCAGTATAATTAATGTACGGTCTTATCGCGGAGCAGAATGTGGGTCGGATCATGAATTAGTAATCGCGAAACTTCGACAAAAACTTAATATAAAAAAGAGAAAAGAAAACCGTTTCGATTTTGAGAATTTTAATTTGGAAAAAATAAAAAATCCACAATTAGAACCCAATTTGAGCTAGATGTTAAGAATAGGTTTGAAGCTTTAGAGCTTCCTGACGAGGACCACAAGAATATTGACAAGTTATAGGTAGAGATCACGGATAATATTAAAGCGGTCGGTAACTCGTGTCTAGGAAATAATTAAAATAAGAAAAACAAACCGTGGTTTGATGAAGATTGCTTAAACATGTGCGAAAAAAGAAAAGCCGCTAAATTAAAAGCTCTAAATAATCCTAGCGAAGACAATCTGGAATACTTCCGAATCTCAAAGAACGAAACGACAAAATTGCTCAAAAATAAAAAAAGGGAGTATCTTAAAAATAAAATAATTGAAATAGAAACTAATAGAATCGAAAATAACGTAAGAGACATATACAACGGTATAAACAGATCACGTAAATATGTAGGGCCCGTAACGTCTGGAATTAGGGATGATAATAACAATATTCTGACCGATCCGGTTGACATATTGAATAAGTTTAAGGACCACTTTGACAATATTTTAAATACGGGAAATTATGATCTGTGTCCTCCTTCTGAGTACCAGAGTGCTGAACCGTTAATAGAAGGACCAAGTAAAGAGGAAGTTGAAGTAGCTATCGAAAAATTAAAATCTTATAAAGCAGCGGGAACCGATAATATTCTTACTGAACTAATTAAGGCGTGCGGGGAAGCTGGAGTTTCTAAAATACATCGGTTGGTTAAAAAGATCTGGGTGAACGAGAAATTACCTGAAGAATGGAAAGAATCTTGACGGAGACACTCAATAAAGTTAGAATCGGTAACAATTTGTCCGAAAAATCTGAGGTTCGTTCGGGTTTAAAACAGGGAGATTCTCTTTCGCCTGTCCTGTTCAATTTGGCATTAGAGCATGCCATTAGGGAGGTAATGGTTACCGAGAAAGGGTTGGATCTGGGCGGGACAACATCCGTACTGGGCTATGCTGATGATCTCGTACTGTTAAGCGAAGACGTTGAAACTATAAAAATAAATACGACAACGTTAATGAAAGCCAGTAAAGAACTAGGACTCGAAATAAACGTGGATAAAAGAAAATATTTGGTTAGCTGCAAAAATGGCGATACTACTGGTGATATCGATATAGATGGTAATATGTTTGAACAGGTAGAGAAATTTAGGTATCTAGGTTCTACGATAACTAGAAAAAACGAAATTGAAGAAGAAATTAAGGTTAGACTGAAGGCGGGAAATGCTTGTTATTTTTCTGTGACAAAACTACTTAGTTCGCGCCTCTTGTCCCGGAACTTAAAAATTAGAATCTATAAAACAATTATCTTGCTTACAGTTCTTTATGGATGCGAAACCTGGCCGCTTACATTAAGGGATGAGCAGCGTCTTAAGGTTTTTGAAAATAAAGTATTGCGTAGAATATTCGGACCGAAGAAGGATTACTTAACCGGAGAGTTCAGACAGTTACACAACGCCGAATTGCGTGAGCTGTATCCGGGTAATATAATTGAGGTAATTTCATCGCGGCGAATCAAATGGGCTTGTAAAGTTGTTGGGCTTAATAACGAGAGAATTCCTAAAAGGTCAATTTGTGCGGTGCCGAATGGTAAGCGTCCGAGGGGTAGACCGAAGCGAAGGTGGGAAGATTGTATTAAAGCCGATCTGAAGGTACTGGGTTTGGACGGCGAACGGTGGAGGGAGGTGTGTAACAAGCGATTGGTTGTGTCGACATCGAGCCTTCGGGTTCGCTAAGCCTTTTATTACTATTATTATTATTATTAATTAAGTGTAACCACTTTATAGGGGCTGAGTTTGCCCTAGGAGGGTCTCTTGGTACCAGGGACGACCCACGGATAATGAAAAGTTACTCAGCCGGATTCGAACCTGGGACCAAGGATCAAGAACTCATTGCCCAACCACTGAGCTACCCCGCTGAATGTCAACCAGTAATATTTCACCAGAAATTTAATTAATTAATAAGATTGATAAGTGAAATTTATTTATGTCGCACCAGATTTGTATATATAGTTAGGTAAATTGAAAACCTTTTGAGTTAGTTTTGATGAAGAGGCAGCGATCTTCCAGATGGTGGTAAAAAATGAAATAATTAACAATACTTTCTCATCTTGAAATAGCAAAAGACGAATATCAAAGTTTTCGTTGCGTTCTTGGTCTGAATACATATAGAAGGTAAGCACAATGATTCCTACAAAGCTGACAGCAATCATTACAGTGAGCAGGCAAGTGAGGGAAGTATGGAGGATCTCGCCGGCGTCGCAGAGCTTGTTGTGGACATCGGAGAGTATGGCGACCTTCTGATCTTTGTAAGGCGAATCGGATCTCATCTTGAGTTCATTTAAAGTTTCGCAAGCTCCTTCTAACCTACTGTTTATGAGTGATGCTAAAACGGAAAACTGTGACATTGCCAACCAAATGTTTGATACGAGAATAACGCTTAGAAATATTTCGCGAATTTCATAACCGGCACGATGACTTCGGCAAAAAATGACAAGAAAGTTTAAAGAAAGTGCCAAAAAATCTGACAGACAGAAATCCAACTGCAAGTGGATGTTTAAAATGGCGTCTACTTCTTCGAGGATACCAATAATCTGACGAAGATCCCTTACTCGCCTGATCGAGGTACTTGCTGTTGTGATGTGCATGATGGCCAAGCTATTTACAAAGCATAAGAGTGTAACTTTTTCCGCTTTTTCAAGATATTCTGATCCCTTTGATTTGAATACGTATGAATATGACCAAATAAGGACAATGCTTAAACCAAATGCAATCAATCCGATCAAGATGCTGGATATTAATGATAGAACGCAGAAGAAATATGATCTCTTGTAACGTCCTCTCTGCAAGGTGAAAGGAAATAATCCAATGACCGCCGACAGAAAATATATGAGACGGAAATATTTGTGGTTTGAAAGTATTCTAGTACGTTGAATGGTTCCTGATTGTTTTGAACCCAACGCCATTTTATCAAAGAGAAGTTATATACTTGTACAGCTGTGGCTTTCCCGAAACTGAATATTTAACTGCTCGAAAGTCATTAGCGGACATCAATTTATTCCGCCTTTTAATCAGATCTAATGTCAATCTATTGCATTGTTCGGTCGTGATCCACATTCCTAATAGAATTAATATAATAGATTTAGGCGATAGCATGTCGATATTGTGATTCCTCAAGGTAGTATCCTAGGTCCTATCCTTTACACAGTATATACAGCTGACATTAAAACACTATCATCACCACATATGCTGATGGCACATGTATCCTATCAGTTAATAACGATCCATCAATTGCATACCAAACTCTTCAATCAAACATCACAAATCTTGAAGAATAGTGTTAAACTGAATAATTAAAATAAATTCCATCAAATTACCTTCACTCTTCAGCGTAAACCTATGACTTCCTGTCCTGCAGTACTGTTTAACAATTCTCCACTTATCCCTATTGAACAAATCCGATACCTAGGACCATCTGGTACTTCTCACTTGGAATTCTCATACAAGACTGAAACGACAAAAAACTGCTTTTTCGACTACTCCAGCAATTACTAGACAAACGCTCTAAACTTTCCATATATTTCAGGAGACTCATATCTATGACTATAGTAAGGTCAATCTGGACGGATTTGAGCTTTGGGGCTCCACTAAACCTTCGAATTCCTCTCGCATCCAATCCACAATCCAAAATTCTTCGCAAAATCCTCAATGCTCCTTACTTTGCCACAAATAAAATCATTCATAACGATCTTAACGTGCCATATGTATCCAATGTAGCCCAATCCAGATACCTTTCCTTACTATAACAAACTTCAAAACGATCCGAACCCTCTCGTGTCAAACCTTGCTTCCTATTCGATCACTGATATAACCCTCCAAGGCGTCTGAAAAGAAGATGGCCTCGTGATCTACTGATGTAAATATATTATTAGAGTGCTACCAATGGGTAGTTTCTCAGCAAGCGTTTTCCTAAGACTGTATTATTACCGTGTGTCTTTTTTTTTTTTATTACTTAAAAATTTCTTTAAAAAACGACGGAAATTTTATCGAAATCAGAGCACTAGTAATATAATTTTTGGTATATTTTTCTAAATAATGAAGACAACGAGATTCTTGACTTCCTAAACCAAAAAGTTTGTAAAAAGAGTTAACTAAAGATGATAATGTGAGAAGTATTTTCACAGTGGAAAATATATTTTCGGAAGTAATAGAAGTAATATATAATATGATGTTGAAAAGCTAAATACTTTAGTATAATGAATATCTAACGAATAAAAAAAAATAAGGTAGCATGGAGTAGCGAAAAACTAATAACTTTTAAAAAAATTAATTATTTCAAGGAAATAACATACTAAATCTTTTCACCTCCTCTTAATGCTTCAATAATTTTAAATGAAGGAAACAATCTGTATAGACTAGAATATTTAAACTGTAAGAAACAGTGTTTAAAGGCTAAAATTACTGAACGATTTAAAGTGAGCGCAACAGTGTTTAAAGTTTACAATTTTTGAGCGATTTAATGTGAACATAGCAGTGTTTAAAAGCTAAAATTTTTAGCGGGTAATGGGCGCCCCCATATTGTTCCGAGGACCTGTTCCAGGATCGGCTTTTTATATCTACTGATGTGCAGAGGCAATGTTGTGTTGTAAAATGGCTTGGTTCTTGTTGACCAAGGCGGGGTACTTTTCAGTCGAAACTGCATAAACTCTGCGAATAAAGGTTTGAGTTCACTGCGCGACCATCAGGAACAAACTCAATACAAAACACCTTTGAAGTTTCACCAAACCCAATTTTTTTTTTCGTAAACCGATCTCTGCGAACCTTCGTTTGTGCATCTTTACCTGGCCTTACCGACTGCTTAAGTTTGCTAGGTTTTATTTTTTTTATATATCAAATTTTCATCACTCGTGATAATTTATTTCCAAAACAAGTCGTCCTTCAGATTTTTAAACGAAATTTTCACATTTCTACTCAGTGTTTGGCTCGAACCTCTGTTAAGTAATGTGGAACTTTAAAATTTAATAAGTCCACTTTTAATGCCTCTTATCGTTCTCCTTCCGTTTATCAGCTTATCGTGAATTCTTTCCGAAAACCAGGAATTTTTAATACGCAGCAGGACGCGGGACAATTTGTTAAAAATTGGGACTATCCCACGTTGATAAGCGTCTGGAATGAGAACGTTTGGACTCCTTATTATAACCCAATAAATACAAAATTCATGGTTCATTTTACTTAAGATAAGTTTTCAGAGTTCCCTACAAAATCTTTATTTATATTTATTTATTTATGATATTTACAACTGTAATAAAAAATAAAACACATTTAGTAAATTTGATAACAGAAAACAATAATATGCAATCACTTGTTGAGAAACTACTCACTGGTAGCACTATAAAAAAATGTATTTATAATATCAGGGATAGAAGAGGCAGCAAAGTTAGAGACGAGAGGATTCGGATGGTTCTGAAGTTTCTTAGGATTTTGGATTGTAAGGTTTGGATACGAGAGGAATTCGATGGTTTAGTGGAGCCCCAAAGCTCAATTCCGTAAGTCCAAATAGTTCTTTTTGTAGTCATGTATATGATTCTTTTGTTAGAGCTTAGAGCGTTTGCCTAGTAAATGCTGGAGCAATCGGAAACGTCAAGCAGTTTCTTATCGTTTCAGTGTGGTATGAGGATTCCAAGTTAGACGTTTGTCTAAGTAAAGTCCAAGGTATCGGATTGGTCCAACAGGAATAAGAGGGGTAATATTAAATGATTCTGTAGGACAGGAGGTCATAAGTTTACGGCGAAGGTTAATTTATTAATTAAATTAAGGTTAAAATAAAGGTTAAAGGTTTAAGGTTAATAGGATTTGATGGGATATATTATAATTTCTTTTAATCCTCCAGTTTCGACACAATTCTTCAATGTTTGTGATGTGTGATTGAAGAGTGTGGATGCAATGGTCAGATCATTATTAACTGATAGGTGGGTCATTGTCATCGGCATACGTGGTAATGACAGTTTTGGGATGCCAGCTGCACTGGCGGATTCAGGATTTAATTTTGGGGGGGGGCTTCAGCGAGAAAGATTTTTTTTCATAAATAAAACGATAATTAATTTGAAAAAAATAAGAAAGAAATGAACTACCTATATGAAATGGTGTTTAAGTAATTCTTGAAGTCCTATAAAATGTAATTACACGAACAATAATAACTATAAGAGATAGTTTTTTATATTTTTTTCTATAAAACATGGTTATACTTCACCGTTTCGGGGAGGGGGCTTCAGCCCGAAAGCCTCCCCCATAAATCTGCCTGTGATCAGTTGCATAAACTGTGTAAAGGGTAGGACCTTTTATACCGCTTTCAGGAACACCAGCGGACAGGAAAATGAGGGATGAATAAACATTATTGTGATTTACATTGAAGTATGTAGGATGTAGCAATTTACGGAATTTGTATAGTAGTGTGTAGGCTGCCAGACTCGATCAAATTCCTATTCTACATCGGGAAAGACTCTCGTGCAGAGGAGACAACATCCATCACTTGGCATTGCTGGATAGTGGAATGGGGTCTGCGGAAACCAAACTGGTTATCCAGGATTATGTGATTATAATCTAGGATTGGGTACAGGCGTTTCAGGATGAATTTTCTTAGGACTTTGCCTATGATGAGTAAAAGAGAGATAGAAGGGTGAGAGGATGGGTATTCTGGTGGCTTTTTGGGTTTATGTATAATTTTGATAATGGATAGTTTCCAAGGGTCAGGAAAAGATGTGGATCGTATATATAAATAAGTATAAAATAAAGTAAGTAAGCAAAATTAGTATATATATAAGTAAAGAATATAATGGCTTTCCGATGAAGTAGTTTTAGGATCTGGGATGTAATTAGGTTGTGTCCAGGAGCTTTGCGAGAAGGTAACCATTGAATATTGTATGATATTCCTAGAAAATGAGAAAAAAGAAGAAGATACAGCCAAATGTAGTTGTGTCCAAACGTTTTGGTCTTCTGTTGTGAATGAATAATTATAATCGAAAGAGAGAATGATAACTATTTTCTCCCTTGTCCCCTTTGAAAAGAAATTTAGCAAGGTTGGTAAATGAGATTTGTGTGATGTTCACAGCACCAGATTTTTGTTATAGTTAGGTAATTTGACAACCTTTTGAGCTAGTACTGATGAAGAGACAGCAATTTTCCAGGTGATGGTCCAAAAAGCACAGAAACCACAATGTCCTGTCATCTTTTAAAAGTATTTGACGGATGTCAGAGTTTTTGATCTGTTTATTGATCGAATACAGATGGAAGGTAAGCACAGTAATTCCTACAAAGCACACAGCGATGAATATAGTGAGCAGGGAAGAGAAGGCAGTATGGAGGATCTCGCCGGCGTCGCAGAGCTTGTTGTGGACATCGGAGAGTATGGCGACCTTCTGATCTTTGTAAGGCGAATCGGATCTCATCTTGAGTTCATTCAAGGACTCGCAAGCTGCTTCTAACCTGCTGTTTATGAGAGAGGCCAGAACTGAAAATTGTGCGATTACTAACCATAAGTATATGGACAGAACGGAAAAATACAATGCCCAGACGATGTTACCCTGAGAATTACAGCATCGCCAAACAACGACGAAAAAGTTCAAACAAGAGGCTACAAGATCCGATAGACCGAAATCCATCTTTGAGCGGTTGTTTAAACCGGCCTCTACTTCTTCGAGGATATCGATGATCTCCCTAACTGCTCTGCCCCTCCAGATCGAAGTACTCGCTGCTGTGATGTGCATCATGGACAAGCTGTTTATAAAGCATAACAGCATAATTAGTTCCGCTTTTGCAAGAAACTCTTGTCCTGTTATCTCCTGGAAGAGTGGTAATGACGAAATAAACCGATTGACAACGTGGCTGTTACTGATAGGATACCAAAGAATATGATCTCCTGTAACGACCTCTATGCAGGATGAAAGAGAACATTCCGAAGACTGGGGAGAGGAAATATATAACACGGAAATATTTGTGGTTTAAAAGCACTTCAGCATTACGATTATTCCTTAGTCTTTCTCGGTCATTCGTCATTTTATGAAAGTTACCTCCTAATACTGTTCTTTCTGTTGTTAAACTGAATATTTTCCGGTTCAAAAATCAATAACGAACATCAATCTAATTCACATTATAACAATTTCTAATCAGACGAAGCGTCAATCCATTGCTTTTGTCAATCATGAGTCACCTTCCTAATTGAATCAACATAAAAGGTTTTTGATCGATACAGTTTAGCCCTCTTATCTTTCATCTCTACAACCATGTATCAATATAAACATGAAAAATAAAATAAATAAATACATTGAGAGGCGAAAAATTCCACCCACTTGATTTTTTCATGTTTTCATCTAAAAATATTTATGCTTTGGATTGGTCTATTATTTTTAATGAATAAATAGGTAATCTTTTTGTTTGTTTTCAATTAGGAATGTTAATATAGAGGACAATAACCCTTAATCCTTAATTCAATGAAATGATTCTAGATTCCAATGTTTACTTTCTTTGGAATCAAAATGTTTATCCAGTATCATTAGTTCAGTGTCGTTTCTTGCAGCACATTTCTTAGTCTCCGGCTTTTAATTTTTTCAATATTAAGTTTAAAAATGCCTCTTAGTTGATGTTGCGCGTGGTGTGGCACTTATTGATGATGGACGTTTCATTAGATATGCAGCTAATGCCATCGGAGTTCCATATGAAACTTTACGAGACGCCGTCAGACTTTTTCGGAAAACTGGTTCTTACAATTGAAGGCCCGGTTCTGGACGGCCTAGGGTAACAGAACCAGGGGATGACCAGTTTTTGACTTTGAGAATTTTACGAAACCGCCACCTTACCGTTGTTCTAGCAATTTATCAGCTCGAAGAAGTTCGAGGTGTGCAAATTTCTGAACATACCGCTTGGAGAAGATTAAATGAGTATGGATTAATGGCTTTTCGTCCAGTAAGAGGACCAGAGTTGATCAGAACTCACAGAGTAACACGGCTGGCTTTTGCTCGAGAACACAGCCAGTGTACTATGGACGAATGGAGTGCTGTACTTTTTACAGATGTGTCAAGATTCACTCCTCTATCTCCAGACGAGCGTGAAAGGATGTGGAGAAGAAGAAACGAAAGATATGCAGCCTGTAATTTTTCCCAGAGCCAACCTTTCCAACGTGGTTCCTTAATGGTGTGAGCTGGGATTTCAATGGAGCGCCGCACAAAATTGGTTATTATTCGTGAAGGGTCTTTGACGGCCATTCGCTATGTAGATGAGATTTTGGAACCTCATGTGTTGCCTACTCTCAACGAAATCGGCGATCGTTCTATTCTAATGCACGCCCACATGTCGCCCGCATAGTGCAGACGTTCCTTCAACAGAAAAATATTGAGGTTTTAGCCTGGCCAGCACATTGTCCAGATTTTAACCCCATTGAGCATTTATGGAATAACCTCGGAAGACGAATAAGACGGCGTGCAACACTTCCTGATACACCGCAGGACCTTGAAAGGGCTCTTCGAGAGGAAACCGCTCTTCGGGAGAAATGCGCTATCCTCCGGCAAAGGGACATTTCCCGACTGGTGGAAAGTATGCCGAGGCGTCTTCAACAAGTAGTGAAGGCAAGAGGAGGAAACACGCGCTACTAAACGATGATGTAATTAACTTTTTTTAGAATAATAATGGTTCGTTTTTCAAGTTTGTTTTCTTTAATTACCTTTAATAACCCGATCACATTTACTAAGTATTATCTACAAATACCATGTATTATATACAAATACACCATTTTTTACAAGTGGGTGGAATTTATTGCCTGTCAGTGTAAAATGCTCTGCTACAACCTATTAAATGTTTATAATTGGTAAATGGTTGACTGTCGTGGATAATGAAGAGAAGAATAGTTGGAGTGATCAGTTAAAAAAGAAGGCAAAAATAAATGATAATATTTATTTTACATATGCCGACGTTTCGACCTGAAGTTCAGGCCATCATCAAGGCTGTCTCCAAAAGTGTAGCAGGGAGAAATCGCTGGGAGAAATATTAAATGTTTACGGATTGATACTACGCATTGCAGTGTCAAACAACTTGTCATTATACAAGCCAAAGATGTTGTTTTGCCCGTGGTATGTAAATAAAAATATTATTATAAAATATAATATTTTATGCCCGTATTTTATTTGGATTTGTAGTGTCTCAAACTGCCGGAACAGTGATAAAAATAACGTTTTAAATTGCATGTATTTAATGAATCAAAATAGAATACAATTATTGTGAGTTTTTTTTTTTTTTTTTTTTTTCTGTAAAATACAAGGTTAAATTTTTCAAGTAACACTATTTTTCCTATATTATTTACTAATTGGATGCAAAGTATGGGCATACATTTTATTAGCCAAACCGTAAGGCAATACTGATTTGTGAGTATCACACGGGGTCGCGTTAAGATTAAGAGTTTTGAAAGTAGCTCATTACAAAGAGAATGAAATGATGAACATCTCGCCGACAATATGGAGGTCCGATTTTTAGTTTTGGGATATTTTAATCCATATGCAAAAACACGACTCCTGCCGACTTAACCCGAGCTTTACACATCGGAAATATAATTCGCACTCCACAAAATGTGCAAAACGCGTTTAAAGAAGTGTTCAATTAAAATCAAAATTAAGATATAAGTGAAATTCGTATGATATAAAGTTAGGTAATGTAACAACCTTTTTACTAAGTTCTGATGAAGCTGAAGCAATTTTCCAGGTGATGGTAAAAAAGGAAAGAACCCACAATACTGTCTCATCTTGGAACAGCAGGAGAATGTCAAAGTCTTCATTCCGTTTTAGGACTCCATATGTGTAGAAAGTGAATACAGTGATTCCTACAAAGCACACAGCGACCAATACAGTTAGCAGCCAAGCGAAGGCAGTATGGAGGATCTCGATGGCATCGCAGAGCTTGTTGTGGACATCAGAAAGTATGACGACTTTGTGATCTTTGTAAGGCGAATCGGATCTCGTCTTGAGTTCATCCAAGGACTCGCAAGCTCCTTCTAACCTGCTGTTTATGAGAGAGGCCAAAACTGAAAACTGTGATATTGCCAACCAAACGTTTGTTACAAGAATAACGCTAAGCACTGCATAGATGATATATTGGGTATTATAACATCGCCAAACAAGGACAAGGAAGTTTAAACAAGTGACTACGATTTCTGATAGACCAAAATCCATTTTGGTATGGATGTTTAAAAAGGCGTCTACTTCCTCCAGAATAACAATAATCCGTCGAAGAGCCCTGACTCTCCAGATCGAGGTGCCTACAGTTGTGATGTGCATGATGGACAAGCTGTTTACAAAGAATAAGAGTGAAAGTTGTTCCGCTTTTTCTAGAAATTTTAACACCCTTATTTGTGAGTAAGACGAAATAAGGATAGTGTTAAATCTAACTGAAAGAAATGCGACGAAGAGTGTGGCTATTACTGATAGAACACCGAAGACATATGATCTCTTGTAGCGACCTCTTTGCAAGGTGAATGGGAACACTCCGAAGACACCCGACAGGAAATATATAAAACGGAAATAATTATGGTTTAAAAGTATTTCAGTGTGCTCAGATTTTCCTGATCGTTTCCTGATCGATCCAATCTCCATTTTACTGAAGCAATATTACCTACTGGTACAGCTGTCTCTGCTCTGAAACTGAATATTTTAAGGGTCGAAAGTCATTAGCAAACATCAATTTAATCCGTATAGATAATCAGATCTAATGTCAATCCATCGCATTCTTCGGTCGTGAGCTACGTTCCTAATGGAATTAACATAAAATGTTTAGGCGATAGCTCTCCAAGACTTTCATATCCATATAGGGTGTGTGTCAAGCTATCTTTTTTGAAATGAGCGTTCTGAACCATAGAGGGGTCTAGTCCCGTGTAAATAAATATTTTTTTTTTATCCATTTATTGGTATTTACCACTGCATACATATATACAATATCCAGCAATATTAACTATTATTAAGGGAGTGATTATTAGTATCTTGAGGTATGCGTCCCCGCCTGGAACCACCGGGTGCGTCTCACCGACAGAAGAATAAGTTTGCGACAGCGAACGGCTTTGCTGCGAGTCACCAAGACATATCCTATGAGGCTAAACAGGTCTTAGCAGGAAGGGTATCTCTCGACCTCCTTCTGCGTGAAGACATGATAAAATATACGTTCAAGAAAAAAAGGCTCAGCAGATCTGCCGAGAAAGCTTAAGGTAAGAATTGACGAGAACCCACGCAAATTTCCGTTTACTTATACGGTAGGACACAATGGAAGAATAGAACCGGCGGTGGGTGATAACCCGAAAAGGACATACATTGAGAAAATACTTTCCTACCATCCGGTTACGTTTAGAAGAAAATTGAGTCCTTCCGGACAACTGGTTCTCGCGATTTCACACAGGCCACGGGTGCTATCGAGCAAAGCTTCATTTCCATTGGATGGACATCGACCCTTATGTCCTATCTACGGTGTTATTAAGACTGCTGAACACATCATAGTCGACCGCACTATCTTTGAAAACTATAAATCACACAGAACGATTTCCCTCAGTTAGTCATTGCAGAAAACTACTCGTACTACAAAAATTGTATGTACGGGTGGAAAGCCACTGGGGGTCCAGTCCATTTCAATCTAAGAAGAGGAGGGGCTACAGGACCATTGGTATGAAAAATATATTAAAATCACTCAAGAAAACCAAGAAAGAACAGATGATCAAGTTTTTCTTACTATAGTGAGATGTTAAGCTGACCAACCTAACAACTACTACTGCAGTCACACTTATTGTTTAAAAGGCAAGGCAGGATTCAACACAAAATAATGAAAACAAATATATACAATAAATAAATGTGCTAAAACATGATAAAAACTAGTAAAAAAACTACCCATTTGTAGCACTTCAAAAATTAAATTAATATAGAAGGTCCATTGGCCATCTTTTTTTCATACGCCTTGGAGGAATATCTGGAATTGTTTTGAATGTGAGGTCATGAACTGAAGGGTTCAATAGAGTTTGTAAGTGAAAGTGGAGTATCTAATTCGGGCCGAGTCTTCAACAAAGTGAATGTTGAGGTCTTTATGAATAATTTTATTTGTGATGATGTTGAGATGTTTGACCGTAATATAATATAAAAGGGAGTCTGTCGGGGATGAGGTAAAATACTAAATTTTTACAATAGTATTTTAATGATTACTCCGACGTTTCGATCCACTTTGTAGGTCTTCATCAGGGCTACAAAAGGTACAAAAGATACATAGGCGGCGTATGGATTGTGGGTTGGTATCTTGTTGTTGACCTCGTGGTAGTGTATTAAATTTTATTTGTGACATGATAAGGAACATTAAGGATTTTACGGAAAATTTTGGATTGTAAGGATTGGATATGGAAAAAATTCCATTGTTTTGTGGAGTTCTATTCCATTTGTCCAAATGGGCCTGATGATGGTAGTGTATATGAGTTTTTTTTACGTAGAATATAGGAAGCTTAGAGCGTTTGTCAAGTAAGTGTTGTAGTTGCTCACCGCTCAACCGCCAATTTTTCTCCCTTAATTAATTATTTAATTAAGAGTACCCACTTTATAGAGGCTGAGTTTGCCCTAGGAGGGTCTCTTGGTCCCAGGGACGACCCACGGATAATGGAAAATTACTAGTCATCAGCTGGATTCGAACCTGGGACCAAGAATCAAGAATTAATTGCCCAACCACTGAGCTACCCCGCTGAATATCAACCAGTCCTATTTCACCAGAAATTTAATTAATTAATAAGGTTGATAAGTGAAATTTATTTATGTTGCACCAGATTTCTATATATAGTTAGGTAAATTGAAAACCTTTTGAGTTAGTTCTGATGAAGAGGCAGCGATCTTCCAGATGGTGGTAAAAAATGAAATAATTAACAATACTTTCTCATCTTGAAATAGCAAAAGACGAATATCAAAGTTTTCGTTGCGTTCATGGGCTGAATACAGATGGAAGGTAAGTACAGTGATTCCTACAAAGCAGACAGCAATCATTACAGTGAGCAGGCAAGTGAGGGAATTATGGAGGATCTCGCCGGCGTCGCAGAGCTTGTTGTGGACATTGGAGAGTATGGCGACCTTCTGATCTTTGTAAGGCGAGTCGGTTCTCATCTTGAGTTCATTTAAAGTTTCGCAAGCTTCTTCTAACCTACTGGTTATGAGTGATGATAAGACGGAACACTGTGACATTGCCAACCAAATGTTTGATACGAGAATAACACTTGAAAGTATTTCGCCAATTTCATAACCGGCACGATGACTTCGGCAAAAAATGACAAGAAAGTTTAAAGAAAGTGCCAAAAAATCTGACAGACAGAAATCTAACTGCAAGTGGATGTTTAAAATGGCGTCTACTTCTTCGAGGATACCAATAATCTGACGAAGATCCCTTACTCGCCTGATCGAGGTACTTGCTGTTGTGATGTGCATGATGGCCAAGCTATTTACAAAGCATAAGAGTGTAACTTTATCTGCTTTTTCAAGATATTCTGATCCCTTTGATGTGAATACGTATGAGTATGACAAAATAAGGGCAAAGCTGAAAGCAAATGCAATCAATCCGACCAAGATGCTGGATATTAATGATAGAACGCAGAAGAAATATGATCTTTTGTATCGTCCTCTCTGCAAGGTAAAAGGAAATAATCCAATGACCGCCGACAGAAAATATATGAGACGGAAATATTTGTGTTTTGAAAATATTCTAGTACGCTGAATGTTTCCTGATTGTTTTGAACCGAACGCCATTTTATCAAAGAGAGGTTACCTACTGGTACAGCTGTGTCTGTCCCGAAACTGAATATTTAACTGCTCGAAAGTCATTAGCGGACATCAATTTATTCTGCCTTTTAATCAGATCTAATGTCAATCTATTGCATTGTTCGGTCGTGATCCACATTCCTAACGGAATTAATATAATAGATTTAGGCGATAGCATGTCGATATTGTGATTCCTCAAGGTAGTATCCTAGGTCCTATCCTTTACACAGTATATACAGCTGACATTCCAACACTATCATCACCACATATGCTGATGGCACATGTATCCTATCAGTTAATAACGATCCATCAATTGCATACCAAACTTTTCAATCAAACATCACAAATCTTGAAGAATAGTGTTAAACTGAAGAATTAAAATAAATCCCATCAAATTTCCTTCACTCTTCAGCGTAAACCTATGACTTTCTGTCCTGCAGTATTCTTTAACAATTCTCCACTTATCCCTATTGAACAAATCCGATACCTAGAGGTTTGGGGCTCCACTAAACCATCGAATTCCTCTCGTATCCAATCCTTACAATCCAAAATTCTTTGCAAAATCCTCAATGCTCTTTACTTTGCCACAAATAAAATCATTCATAACGACCTTAACGGGCCATATGTTTCCAATGTAGCCCAATCCAGATACCTTTCCTCCTATAACAAACTTCAAAACCATCCGAACCCTCTCTTGTCAAACCTTGCTTCCTCTTCGATCACTGATATTACCCTCCAAGGCGTCTGAAAAGAAGATGGCCTCGCGATCTACTGATGTATATATGTTATTAGAGTGCTACCAATCGTTAGTTTCTCTACAAGCGTTTTCATGTGACTGTATTATCACCGTGTGTCTTTTTTTCTTATTTGTTAAAAATTTCTTTAAAAACGAAGAATGTTTCATCGAAATCAGAACACTAGGAATATAATTTTTGGTATATTTTTCTAAATAATGAGGACAACGAGATTCTTGACTTCCTAAACCAAAAAGTTTGTAAAAAGAGTTAACTAAAGATGATAATGTGAGAAGTATTTTCACAGTTGAAAATATATTTTCGGAAGTAATAGAATTAATATATAATATGATGTTGAAAAGCTAAATACTTTAGTATAATGAATATCTAACGAATAAGGAAAAATAAGGTAGCGGGGAGTAGCGAAAAACTAATAACTGTTAATAAAATTACTTATTTCAAGGAAATAACTTACTAAATCTTTTCACCTCCTCTTAATGCTTCAATAATTTTAAATGAAGGAAACAATCTGTATAGGCTAGAATATTTAAATTGTAAGAAACAGTGTTTAAAGGCTAAAATTACTGAACGATTTAAAGTGAGCGCAACAGTGTTTAAAGTTCACAATTTTTGAGCGATTTAAAGTGAACATAGCAGTGTTTAAAAGCTAAAATTTTTAGCGGGTAATGGGCGCCCCCATATTGTTCCGAGGACCTGTTCCAGGATCGGCTTTTTATATCTACTGATGTGCAGAGGCAATGTTGTGTATTAAAATGGCTTGGT